ATATATATATATATATATATATAGCCTGTGCAACTGAAAATGAATCACGTTCGTATAAGTTGTAATTTCGTGAATCTTGACTTCTGTGGCACGAGGCCGTCCTCGTGAAGTCGGACAACAAAGATGAATACAAAATTTATGGGTATGAATCTTTAAAATGTAGCTGCAAGGGCATTAGGGTCGTACTGCCGGCTTTCGAGACACTACATGCAGCCAGCTGTTACAAGATTCATAACTCGTCTCTGACACGCGATCCGCTCCAACAGACTCCCCCAGAACAGCGCATCCTCTCCGTTCTGAGCAGAAGCGCATAAAATGTACGTACCTCTGTCGGTTCTCATATTTCATCTATGAAAATACTACACGTATTTATATCAAATTTGGTATTGCCAGACGGAAATTTATTATATTTATATAAAGATTTAATTTAAGCTACCCCTGTAACAGGCCGTGGAGATCCATAGGGGTGTGAGACGTCAAGGTTCCCACATTTTCTAGGCAGTCATTACGTACTTCAGCAGTTCATAATGTAAAAAAGTTAATGGTGGCCCTCTGATTTAATTAATTACACACCAAGCCATGAAGTCGTATTGGGGAATGGAGGTATAGCTACAGAATTCACCTCGGCACTAGATGCGAGGTGAGTGGTCGGCTTCAGACATCGACCGCTTTACTCCCGGAAAAAGAGCCCACGATTCATTGGACAGAAGGCTGCGTGGGCCCAGAACCCGGTTTGGATGCCGTGGAGAAGATAAATATCTTATCTATGCTAAGAATTGAACCCCGGCCATTTCGCCTGCAGTCCGGCTCCTTGGGTTCACTTCGCACATCACACATTGCGTCTCCATTGCACACAGCAACCGGTTAATGCTGTTCAGAGAGGTAACTGCTGTTATTCTGGGAATAATACACAAGTACACTATGTCAACAGACAGGTGGTATATACCAATAACATAGTGCGTTAAAGAGCTCAACAGATCAGTACGTAATAAAATAACGACATTTCAAAATTACTGCAGAATTTGGTAGTGACTAGTTTTCTGCACTTTACATGAACCTCACCCTTCAGAGAGACTTGCGGTCAGCGATATGGCGCATGCGCTGAGACCAGTACCTTGTTCCGGTGCGTGCTGCGCCCTGACAGGGCCCGTCCTCTCTTTGGCATGCTGGGTACCCGTGGCCCGCTTGGACCCAGTGTCACGCGCCGGCCTGTGTGTCGTCGTGATCTTGGTGAAGGTAAAGGGTGAGAGGGAGTCCAGAATAAGCGAGTCCATCATGCGAGCAACCTGCTGGAACCCAGTGTGGGACGTCGAGGGGCTGGAACATACAAAGCTACGTTCATTCAAATGCTTCAACCGTCTTCAATGACGAAAACAAGAATTCCTTAATTGCATGAAGCAAACATATGTTCAGCTAGTCAAACAATTATCCGCCCTTCGTGGAACCCTGAAGGTTCATCACCTTGTTCACAAGAACCCGCCACTGGTCCCTATCCTGAGCCAAAATAATCCAATCCGTACCATCCTGCCGCATTTCTTTAAGATACTGTTACGTAGTAAGCGTGTGACTATAGACGGTGTTTTGGATAACTGGATTTATTGATCACTTAGAGGTCGTAAATAACTATAACACTCGCTGATTTCCACAACTTATAGTTCACTAGAGCACACAATCTAGTGTTATCAGTCTGTTACTAGACGTTTCCTGCTAACGGCTCCAACAATGGTTATTCTTCTGCCTCCAGCTGAAGTCCTTTCTTCACAGACTCACGTATATAACTGAGTCCCAACTCAAAAAATCAAAGTCATATTGCGACTGACGGTCGGTCGGTCGGTCGGTCGGTCAGTCGGTCAGTCGGTCAGTCGGTCAGTAAGTCTTGGTGTCGAGCTCCATTTGGGGTACATGACCAGATATTTATTACTGTTTTGACAGTTACGGTCTTGTTTTCTGTGGGGGCATCCTCTCTGACGAGAGGACGGGTCTGTTATTTATACATGCTGCTGGTCCTTGCCAGCGCAGTCTTTCTCGGGTCCGAGTCCCTTGGAACTCGCGACTATATTTTACTGTTTCAGATTTGAGACTTACCTTTTCGTCGATGTGTATTGGATTAATTTGGTTGAGGGTAAGGACGGTGATTGGATCTTGTGAATATGACAATGAACCTTCTGACTAAAACAAAACAAAAACTGGTAACTTCTTGGCTGGCTGAGGACTACATGCTTCTCAAAATAGCATGAGAAATTTCGGTAATAAGAGCTGTGTTTAGTGTCTGTTTCTTCTCGTTAAAAGACGCCGCGCTCGTTAGGCAACTTCTCCAACATTGTGGGCGGGTCGGTCTACATGGACAAGACAGGCGCAAACCAGGCAGCTATGGTAGCGAAATCTGTGCCATGCGTAAGACAATCTTCTACTGCAACAGATCACGTTACCTGTTCCAAAGTACAACACTCCCACAGAGAAATCACTTTCTCAATACAGCGTATTTGTACACTAACAACATTTCTCTATATAGCATATCTGTACACTAACAACATTTCTCAATATATCGTATTTGTACACTAAAACATTTCTCAATATAGCATATTTCTACACTAACAAAATTTCTCAATATAGTATATCGCACACGAACTAACAACATTTCTAAATATAGCATATTTGTACACTAACAACATATTTCAGTATAGCATATCTGTACACGAACTAACAACATTTCTCAATAGAGCATATCTGTACACTAACAACATTTTTCAGTATAGCATATTTGTACACGAACTAACAACATTTCTCTATATAGCATATCTGTACACTAACAACATTTTTCAGTATAGTATACTGTATTTGTATAGAAACTAAAGTAACCATCTAAGTAAACGGCACGACCCAACTCCCCTGTATGCACAGCTTCGTGGCTTCTGTTCTCCATCAAATTATATTTGGGGCCATCAGAGCAAGAAAGACGAGACAGAAGGGACACGTGAGATTATCCCCTGCTATCAGAATCCAGCTCACGTGACGTAGGATGACAGATGAAACCTGAACTGGAAAGATTTCGGAGGAAAGCAATGGTAGAGTAATACAAGTACTCTCAATCCTTCAGCCTGGGCGTACTGAAGAAGACCACAAAAATTCTCAGTCAGGGTGCATATTCCGGCCGAGATTCGAGCTGGGAACCTCCAAATTACGAGTCTAGTGCAAGGTATGGTGGGTACCTATGACCCGGGACAGCTCCCGTAGACAAGAAGGCCTAGAAGGAACCCCTGAAATGCGGCTAACGATAGGCAACGGTCATGAAGAGTGGGGTTAGCAACCCACTTGATATATCAACACAACTTCTCAAAGTAACAAGGGACAAAGCAGGACTTATGAAATGTTGACGACTTCGGCAATGAAAAGGACACGAACTTGTAACCCAAGAAGCCTAGTCCGACTCCATTTCTTCAAGAAATAACCTATCAGCCTAACAGAAAGAAGGAAAGAAAAGAAGCGTTGACGCTACGCCAACCTGCTCGATACGGGGCATGAAGCGGCATATGAGATATCATAAATGCATAAAAGATGTTTATCGAAAAAGCGAATGGAAGAGGCCATTTGGAAATCCAGATGGATCTTGAAGAAACAGGCCGTAGGGCTGTGGATTGGATTCAGCCTATCAGTGCTTAGATGAAGACTTGTTATAAAAATGTTATAAAAATGCAGAATATTTTAGTTCAATTATTCTTGTGTTTGTTAACAGAAGAGTGCTACTGCAAACAAGTTAGAAAATATATGCATCGTGTTACAATTCGGACACGTTGGTTCAGTTTTGCCTAATTAAGAGACCGTTAATCTGTATTGTCATAAAAAGTGTTTTATTTTTCCTTGGAACGAGTTTTCGTGATATTTCTCACTCCGACAATAATTTACCAAGTTACGCACAAGATACATGTAGAAACGGATGTACAGTTGTTCGTGTAAAGTGTCCGATTTTAATAACAATTTCACTGTTACGACAAAAATTTTTGCGAAGCTCCCTAATATAAAAATTTTCATGAAAATTCACTCAGTCGTTCTCGAGGGTTTTTTTACATGCCAAGACAAAAATGGCGTTTCTTACTAGAGATATTTTATGATTTTTTTCAGAACGCGTAAAAAATTCATGGCATCTTTTGAATTGTCGGCAGACGCACATATGTCTCAGGACACCTGCTTCTTTGGACTGCGATCACGGATCTTCAGCACGAGAGCCACTCACGCTGTCTTCACATAACCTCTCCTCTTCCAATTTACATCTAAAAATAAGCTCCGTTAATGTCTCCAGCCGTTAGTCAATGTCCTTACATAAATACGTTTCACACTACCGTAGCGCAGTTGCAGCCCAGAACTCTACCACTGGTTTCTGACACATCAAATATCACAAAGAATATCGATTACTAATTTTCGACTCCAACAAGAAACTAATTAAATTGCACAACCAGAGCCTTGCGCTACTTACTGAAAGAAGGGGTCCTCCACGAATTCCCGCATCATGGAACTAAAGAACGCCATGGCCTTTTCAGTTAGTTACTCTTCGACTAACCTCAACATACATGTCACTACAGTCGCTGCAAAAGACTGCGGTGTACCTAGCAACTATTGACTGTTATCTGCTGGCGCCTTGGTGATCGTGACGTCACCAATCGGTAACAAATGCGAACCACAGGGCGCGAAGTTAGAACTGTTATTATTTACTCGAAGGCACAATTGCACTGCCACTTTTGATCGTCTGTTATGTATATTGAACGTAATGGCTTATGGAAATAGATGACGATTTTGGAAAGACGCCCGTTTCGAAGTATAGAATATTAAAATCTTCTATTTGCCGTTTTACATCTGGCTTCGCATTCTTGAAGTTCATACTGTCCTAAATTTATTGCAGGAACTATGTATTTTACTCATGACTATCAGACAACACAAATAATTTACCTCCAATTAATTTAAATTAAATTAAACTAAAGTAACGTAACCTAGTACAATCTAACCCCTCAGATAATTCAGTTGTGAAAGAAATATTATGCGGACAAAATTCGAAAAATGTTTTTTTTATTTATTAAAGAGCTACTTCTACTGGTAATTTTGTATCTAAATCCGTACATTTTACGATGGTAATGTGTACAATCAACTCGTCACTTATATATGGGAAGGTTGTACCGAATAGTAAACAATTTTCTATTCTAAAGGCTCGTCCACATTACTCGTGCTCGTGCACGAGCACGAGTAATGTGGACTCGTCTTAAGAAGATTATGAGTATTAAACACTCAAGCTGTATGTTTATTTTAAAGGTGTTCTTTAATGCAGTTCTTTAATTCACTTCTTCTCTTAAATGTGATTCTCCAGGCTGGATAACGTGCAAGCAGAGGGTTACATTCCCTCACAAATCCCACAGGACCTCTATCTTCAGAACGACCTGAAGGGTTCAGGACAATTTGCGTTACCGTCTACTATCTAAACACGGAAAGGTTAAAATGTAATTTTACCTGTCGTTTCGTGTTTGTGTGAAACTTGGCTAAGGGAAAGCACGTACTGAGTGTGTTTGAACATGGAGAGCAACATTTGACTCGAAAGAAGGAAATGAAAGCCGGGATTCCTTTCGCATGAGGGGGGGGGCACAGAAAATTTGCTTACATATTTGTATATAGGTCGTTATGAATACTTGAGCAGACAGCCCTGAAACTGTGGGTCCCTACATTGGAACACGGCGATTACAGTAGCCACGTGGTCTGAGGCATGAACTGTCTTCGCTCGCTCGAACGCTGGGTTCATGGGTTCGAATACCACTTAAGGCATGGATGTTTGGTATGTGTATGCGTTTAATATGTGTTTGTGTTGTCTTGTGTTTATGTAGAGGCCTTGCGACGGGCTGATCACTCGTGTAAGGAGTCCTACCGTCTGTGAAAAATGATTACAGAACTGAAAAAGAGGCAAGGGCCCTGAATGGGCTGGAAGAGCCATAAAAAGAAACACTGGGACACAGGCGTTCAATAACCTTTGGTATATTTCCGTGTTTGTTTTAAATTTAGATTTTTTTAAAAATTTCTCGGACGGGGTGGGTAGATACCAACTTTGTCCATCCTCTCCACATCGGTGTAAGAGAAAGAATAAAGACCGGAGAAAAAGTCAAGATAAGGAGCTTCAGAGTCTGAGTTCTTCGCCAAATATCATTAGGATGCAAAAGGAATAGGATGGGTGGAATGTAGCACGAATGGGGAGACAGAAATCCCATAGGGAATAACTCGGCAGGAAGATTTAGTGGCCCTTCCAAAGGCAATGTCGACTAGATTAATCTCGCTAAGGCGAGGTC